TATTGTGTGGCTTAGGTCTTATTTATCAAGTATTACTTGGCATTACATGTCACTTTAACCTGAAGAAAGCGTATGGCATAGCAATTCACATACAAAATTTCAGAAAAAAGAAATTGTCAAAGAGTCTGTTGTATCACATGTTATCAGGGATTTATGACAGCTATTCATGAAGAGCAAATAACGAAATGACAGAACCCAAAACAGTTCTTTCCTAGGGAGGTAATTAATTTTTCAGCTTAACATAGGCCTGGATGCCTTTCAGTCTCTCTTTATCCAGTTATCTGCTGGACGCAAATGCATGCATGCAGAGAAGCAAGCACCGTGGCACAAGTCATATCATTTACAATTCCCGCAGTTTGTCTAAGCTTTACAAAGCAAAAACAAACAAAAAAGAATCTGGTCTCATAAACGAAAAAAAGAAACAAGTTAGCCCAAGCTTCAAAAAACAGCACAGTTTATCATTGGCACTGAAGCACTCATGTCCAAAAATAATAAGAGCTTATCAAGTCGTAAAAGTGAGACTCAAGTGGTACAAGATTGACTCAAATGATAAATGGTGAATAGTTTAACTGCTGAAACTGTAGAAAGGGGGCCGGGCTAACTTTTACGGCCTGTTTACATGGAGGAGGGGGACCCCAGGTAGGAATGGTAACCCACTTAGGTGGGGTAACCCGCCTGTCCATATAATCTCTCATTTTAATTTGATCACGTTTACATGATAGGTGGGGTCACCCTTCAAGGTGGGTAGCCCGGTCTGCCACACCAGGTAACCCTCTCAGCTGAGGTCAAATTTTGCCATGTCAGCGTTTCAAGGTGAGGTAACCCAGGCTAGTCGGGGTTGGATTCGTGATACATCAAATTCGCGCAAAATTCACTTTGGCGCCGGGTGGCTTCACATAATTATTAAAGGTAACAATAGAAAGCCACAACAGTGAAGGTTGCAGCAAGAGCAGCAATTGAGCGTAGACGTGGTTTGCCAGCATTTTTCTTGTTTACGTGCTTAGCGACCATTTAATAATCTTGAGAAACTGCACCCCAGGATGGCGGGGTTGTAAGATTGCATGTAAAGGAGGGTTATTTTTTTACCCCACCTAAGCAGCTTACCTCACCTACCTGGGGTCCCCCACCTTTATGTTAACAGGCCCTAAGTCTCAGGAACCGTGAAACTGGTAATAAACGGTATACCTAACCCAGGACTAGCTCTGATACTACCGGCCATCTTCAAGAACATTAGCATAGCAGCCAAAGAAGCCATTATATCGATGTAAAACGAATATTAGATTGCGGTGGTTTCATTCGTCTCGTTTTGTGACTTTTTTGCGTTCGTTTTTGTCACCATCTCTAAATATCAATCAAATTGTTCAAAACACCCTACTAACAAAATATTTCGTAAAGCTCTTTAGAATGATATTCAGCAATAAAAACAAGGTGTGACCAGGAGCCGATTTCTAGGCTCCTGGTGTGGCAACATAGGCATAAGTGAATGCAAAGTTTTGCAGTATGTAATCTGTCAGAAATCTGTTTGAGTGGTCTAAGTTGGGGCTGATGGGCTTCTTTATCATGACCACTCCATTATTATAAGGGACCAGGCCATAATTATTGTTGACCCTTGCTTTTTTTGGTATTTTATGTAATTTTCAATACCATTATTTTGTGAAAAGTTGGTAACTGAATTGCTCTCGAGGAATTCATGATCGTAAGATTTCGTAACCACGGGGTATTCGTCTAATTGCATCAAACAAATTACATTCATTTTCATAAATGATGCGTCATTGGTTGACTAAAAGAGGCCTTCTTCTGAAGTTAGTTTGTTTGTAAATTGTAGCGCACGCGACGACCTTCCTTTTTTTGAAAGATCGTATAGACAGACTTACCATTAACACTCTGGTCCAAGAGCTCTGAAGTGAATGAGCCGCTTACAGGTGTCTAGGCATGCAGGGACCTCATACACTTCTTTTTAAATGCAAAATTATGTGCAAAAGATAAAAAGTGTTAAAAATTCCTGGAGAGGCATGTTTTACACCTCGTCCCCAGGGCTTTAAAAAAAGGTAGACAAAGGTAAAGCGACCATATTTTACGTCAATAACTCGTGACAGTAATAATAACTGATAAACTTGAGGTCGACGGTGCGCTCCTTTTACCCCCCTCTCTCCATTAATTCCCCCTTTTAAGGGTATTTGAAGATAGTCCAAGCTCCACAGAAAAAAGAAAAGTTGAAATAAAGATGTGTTGACACCGGGGATCGAACTCGGGACCTCGCGCACCGAAGGCTGCGCACTAACCAAGTGTGCTCCCCCTTTTCCCCCTGAGGACGAGGTTGACATGTTTTAATCATTATCTCAAGGACAGGGTTACCAACGAAGCAAATTATAATCTACTCTTAGCTGCACAATTACAAAGTGGGCGCGTTGTCAGTTACGGTCATGAGGTCGTTCATGTGGCATGTCAAACTTTAACGATTCTATCGTTTAGGACGTGATACATTTCAGTTTTATGTTATTGTATGACATCTTTGAAAGCTTGCTTTGTGATCTGTTTAAATTGATATGTAATGATATTATAACTGTCAAGTCTTAGCAGTGACACTGATAGCCGCACAGTCCGCACAGTGAACATGGCCAAACTTACAGTGTGGAGACTGGGCACTAGTCAGTATTATGTACATGTAAAACTATTTTGAATAGTGTAACAACAACTAAACATTACCAAATTAAAAACTTAAAAATTTGAAACGAATGTTTTTTAGCCAAATCAAACAAGAAGAGTACTCACCACAGGGCACCCAATCTGCTATTATAGGTGAAAGTTAACCCCCCCTTTTATCTGTAATTAGGACCATTTGTAACGGGCACCCCCTCCAGTATTAATCGGCAGGTGCTAAGGAAGCTCTGTGCCAAATTTGACACTTTTGTCACGTCTGTAACGATCCGGCCTATATTTTGCACTAAGAGACCTGACTATTGTCCAACACATGTGAGTCTAGACTGCGAGCAGTCTCTCTTTTTCTTCAGATTTAGTGAGAGCAATGCACGCGCGCGGGAGCGGCGAAGCCGCGAGACGCGCGAAACGTGCCTCTCCCGTCTCGCGCTATAAGTCACGCGCGTGGCCATTTGCGTGTCTCGCGTTTTGCTCGACGGACTACAGAAAAAAAGAGAGACTGCTCGTATCTAGTGTGAGTCGTCCTTCTCAAATCTTCTAATTCTTCTGCAATTATTTCTTTTTTGGGTTCCCAATTACGAATGATGCCCCCTTCTGTTCTCCTAAAAATCAAGTGATCCCCTCCCCTCCCCCCGCTCCTCCCCACCGAAAAAATGGTCGATTCAAATTCCTTCCCAGGGCCGCTCGGTTGCCGAAATAAAAAACATGGCGGCGGCGATCTCCAGCGGATCATAGCGCTCAATCAGCGCTAAAAAAAAAGAGAGATATAAAGGCAAGCCGTAATGAGTATTCTAAGAAGAGCTTGGGCGAAATATCAGCAACTGCTTATAACAGATCCTTGGAAAACACAAACTATAGGAACAGGTATTGTAATTAATGAAATTCCGTTTTTAAATTTTTTTTCATGATGGATTGGAGGAGACATCATCTCACTCAAATCATTTGAGTGAGGTGAAGTCTTCTAAAAATCCAAAGCTTAATTGCTGTGAAATAAGCTTAAATCCTTTTACCGATCGCGTTGTAGGGGCTTAGAATTGTTTTGAAAGACAAATGAGCTTCGGATTTGCGGATTTGCCATTATTAAGCTTGCAATGTCCTCTAATTTGCATGAGGACGTTTGGAGACACAGTTCGGACAGTTTGTGTATTGTTAGATTTCGATGCACTCAAAATGGAAAACATAGCAAAATAGAAAAGGCCTAAATCAAACGAAACTGTTGGCATGAAACCATACAGTGGTGCGCTGTTTGTTTTAAAATTATTTTTGTCGCTTGTTTCATATCATTGTCTTCTTGTCATTCATTTCTCATCCCTTACTTGGCATCATTTTTTGTTGCTCTTTCATACGTCTCCTCTTGATATTTGGCATTCCAGAGCGAGACTCTCATTTTAACATTATCTCTGTCGTTTGTACGCACTACGCTATCAGTTGTATTCATTACTCTGCCAGTTGTACACACTACTCTAACATTATTTTGTAAACATTTTCTCTGTTAACACATGCACTGAGGGGTGTCCATATCAACTGGGTTGAATTCAGAAAAAATGTAACTTAAGGGTAACTTAAGGACTTTCTTTCCCCAGGGACAAAGCAAACTGTCTGTAATAATGAGGTGTCTTTATTAAGCAGGTGTCCAAAAATCGGGGTTTGACTGTATACACAGGGCTGTCAACTCTCCCGGATAATCCGGGAGACTCCAGATTTTGAACCATTTCTCCCAGTCTCCAGGTTGGAGTCTGAAATCTCACAGATAATCGCCATGGTTTGCCATTTCTTGTAGAATCGACTTTCTGACAGTGGAATTTTTTCAAATACTAATGCTTTGTTTGAGCTATTTTACTGTTAACATCAAACACTTCCTCACAAACTCTGGTATGACATTGTAATATACATGTAAGCAATAATGTGGTTGGTGGGAAGTAAGCCAATTAGGTCAAATGTTACAATTCCAACAAAATCTTTTTTGTGCAGTTTTTTTCACAAATGATGTCATGTGCCATGGCCATTATGACATCATTTATCATCCCTTATCTCATCAAGTCTCAATATTTGAAGACATGAGGAGTTAACAGCCCTGGTATACACCTGGTCCCGGTTGTTCAAAAGATGGATAGCGCTATCCACAGGATAAATCATTATCCAGTGGATAAGTGTTAGGAAAATGAATTGCGCTGTTCAGTGGATAGAGATTTATCCAATGGATAGCATTAATTATCCACCTTTTGAACAACTGGGGCCTGATTGAAAAAACATTGTCGCTTGAAAAGTATAGACTGCATGAACGATGGGACCTAATGGATTTATGGGTGGAACTTTATTAGCATTGCAAGTTCTTTTCAGAAATGTTTACTTTATTGAAGCTTTTGGTGACGATGCATCCAAAAAACATCAAACGGTTTCCAGATTTTGTGGCAATAAGCTCACAGCTTCACCTGTCCTGGACACATAAGAGATGTCTACAGTTAAAGACCATAGGCATATCACAAACACACATTTGAAAATCATAAGATAGGACATAAAAAGCTTTCTTGGAAGACAACAACAACAACGGCATGCCTGCAGAAAGTACTTTAGGTATTTGCATCCGCACAAGTATCTCGTGACAATGAAAACTTTTGTCAAAAGAACTTTGAATTTGCTTTGCTAATGAACATACATGTATACCCATAAATACTTGAGGCCTCATCATTCATGGTTTATACTTTTGAGCGACAACAACAACAACAACATTATCTGGAGGATAATGCTCTTGATCCACAGACTGTCTTGATACAAATTTCACAGTTGCACTAGATACCTAGACATGTATATCTACAGTGCATGCAGCTCAAAACAACTGTCCAAAAAATGCGTGTGCAATTTGTACCTCTGCATCTGAGTGTGCGTGTATCTCTGACACATCTGATTAGTATACATACATGTATGGGCCAGCTTTATACCTCTTTCACAATTGTGTCTTATTAATGTATATTTTTTTATATGTGCGATAAATTCAGGCTTTCTGACCTCGTTTGAAAGTAGGAATTGTTTTGTATTTTACACATGTTAACGAGGTCAGAAATGGTTATTATAATCCTATAAAAGGATACATATTTGATAGGCCACCAGATTGTAAAATACGTCTATTGTCTACATATTGCTCTTATTTTGTGAAAGATTTGAACCCAGGAGTCATTTCATAAGTAGGCTGAGTATGTTTGTCTGGGTTGAACGTAGTCCTGAATGTTGACAGTGACTGACGTTTCAACAACCTGTGCAGTATTCATCTTCTGAGTGACTCTGAAGATGAATACTACAGATTGTTGAAACGCCAGTGACTGTCAACATTACAGTCCTATTCTGGACTACCGTATTTATTCGAATAAGCGCCCAACCTCGAATTAGCGCCCACCTCGAATAAGCGCCCATCCTAAAGGCAGAAAAAGTTAATAAGCGCCCAGCCTCGAATAAGCGCCCACCCCACCCCATCCCTTTTCCCCTCACACCTCCCAAAAATTGAATAAGTACTAATAAGAGACTTCCCCGAAGACGGAGTTTTCTTCAGAGTATTTTACAGACCTTGCTTTGTTACATCTTCGCGTTTTGTTTTTACCATTTATTGTTTTGTTGCAAAATAAACATACTACGCTTGCTGAAAATGTTGAAAATTTAATAAGCGCCCAGCCTCGAATAAGCGCCCACCTCGAATAAGCGCCCATTCTCAAGGTCCAAAAATTTAATAAGCGCCCAGGGCGGTTAATCGAATAAATACGGTATGTTCACCTGGACATTTATGCATAACCTTCTTTTGTTTTTATTTTGTTGTTAGTTTTTGTGGACTTTATTGTAACTCATTGCATCTTAAACAGTGGGCATTAACTGAGGAACTGTATACAAGTAAACACACATTTATCTTCCTACAATGTAACTCAAACATGTGAACAAGCATCCACATCATTGGCACTAAATGAATCTTTGGCTAAATGTTTTCCATCCAGTTTGAGCATCTTGAGGAAGGATGAACATGTACATATACCAGCATGCAAAGAAAGACGTGTCTGATAGTCTGGGGCTAGTGGATTTTGCAATTGGGCTAGTGATTTGTGTTCTTAACTTGCCAGCTGGGCAAGTGAAGTTTTTTGGGAAATTCAAATTACAGAAGAACTGTAATCAATGCTGCTCATTAAATTTTTCGAGGGCTACTTAAAAGACTCTTGGGCTAGTACATACTAGCAACAACTTGCATGCCTGAGTGGCTGCTTGAAGCCGTAAAACCGACTTTCTTTGCACCCTGATATACAGAAAGTAAACCAATTGCTCCACTTAGACCGATTACAAGAAATGTTGATGACATAAATTTATAAAGCACAAGTGTCAGTCATTTGGCTACAGTGAAGTTAGCTAAGAACTGTGGCCATGCCATTTCGACTTATACATGTAAACATTCACAGAAACTATTTCCCAAAGAGTGGAATAGAGCCAGCGATGTTTAATATTATTGTTATGACATTTGTAAACTTTCCATCATGGATACCCAACATTTTTTGTCTTTGACAAAATGTGAATTATATTTATTTAAACAATAATTGCTGACAGTACAATCTAACTTGACTGTGCATGTAAATTATTTTATTTACACTGGCAAGTTACTTCATGTCAATATCTCACGTTGCAAGTAAAGTTGCAAAGTCAATCGGTATAATATCTAGATGCAGCTTCTTTCTTCCTAAATCGTCTTTACGTATGCTCTACTATTCCTTAATTTATCCTTATTTTTACTACTGCAATATCATTTGGGCTTCGACCTATAAAACTAATCTCCGCCACCTTGTTATCCTGCAAAAGCGCATTATTAGAATTATTAATAAATCACATTTTAATGCTCATACTGACCCCATCTTTAAGGACCTCGGTATACTAAAATTTAATGATATCCATTTGCTTCAACTGGGCCAATTTATGTATTCTTGCAAAAATTCATTCTTACCTCCAAAGTTTAATAACAATTTCTCTCAAAGCAATCAATTCCACTCTTACAATACAAGAAATTCTCAGGCCTACCGTCTACCGTATTGTCGTACAAACACGAAGAAGTTCTCGCCCTTTTTTCAAGGGCCTAAGTTTTTTAATTCACTTGACAACAAGATCATCAACTCTCAATCCCTCTCCTCTTTTAAGAAAAAACTGAAGATTAAATTATTGAGTAAGTATGAAAACAGTTTATAAATCTTTCCATCTTCGACTTTTCGCCTTCTTCTCTTCAATTGATGTGAAACAGCTCTAGCTCATAGTTCGAGGAGGCCTAACCTCTCATAAGCTCCTATAGTTTCTGTTAGGTCTCCTCGCCACTTCTTTTTTTTTTTTTTTTTCTTCTTCTTTTCCTATATTTTTTGTAATTAGTGTGGCAAATAAAATAAAATAAAAATAAAAATAAAAATGTTAGAGTCAACATAGAATTTTTTTGAATATTACTAAGGATGTAGACCTCATTTCAAAATAAAGACTGTCTCTGCTAGTGTGGTTTTTTTGTATCTGTCAGGCCAAATCACATGAAATATATCACCATATTTTGTACATTTTCTGCTCTTAGTAAAGTCAAGATTGACTAGTATAATATTGATAATAACTCTAAAAGGATAAAAGTGCAGGCTAGCAACTCCAAAAATGAAATTTCTTTGCAACTTACTGTTTTATTTATAATTTTTATTTATTTTGATTGCTTGACTGACTAGCAATAGAAAAAAGTGTTAAACAATTTATCTAAATTTTTTTGTAATTTATATGAACACTTTTATAGTAATTAACTAATATTTCATTCTTAGGTTTTACAGTATCCTTCTTATAATTTACTGTGGTTTAATCATACTCTACAAGTATCTAATTCTCTTTTGTTGTTTATTGTTGCTGATATTCAAAAATAGTAAGATTTCTGCTACAAATAATTTGAGAGCAATTTTCTATGAAAGACCTCATTATAGTACCGTATGTTCCTAGTGAGATTCTCAAAACAGAAAGATTAAAGGGACTATGCCACACTATTTTTTAGGCATTGAAACCATTTGCTATAGACCTTTGTCACAACGGCCATTTTGTCCCAGCAGTTAGCCTGGCAGTAAGAAGGAGGCTAGCTGCGCAAATACAAAGCTTTTTTAATCTCTTGGGACAAAATGGCTGCCACATGACAAAGGTCTATTGTTTGTAGCTATGAATGGCAAGGATGGACGTTGATTAAAACTTGAAAAAAATTTGCCACCCTTTTCAACTTTTAAAGCTTTGTGCTTGCAAAAATTACAATCATAAAAATTGTTACAGTTAGTGCTCCATGGTGGAAATTTTTTTTGGTTACCTTCTTTAAAACTCTAAACAGGTACAAGTATATATGTTTTTATATGTGTTAAGGGACTAAGTTCTGATGTATATGTAAGCTGTCCATGAACATGCTATGGTACAACTACGGCAGCACAATATTATTGCAAAAAGAAGGTAGTGTCCAATAGCTCTGGACTGGTGGATTTTGCTATTGCACTAGTGGATTTCATTCTTAACTTGCCCAATGTACAGGACAGTGACATTTTTTGAGGGATTAAAATTACAGTCTAAGAACTGTGTAATCATTGCGGTTACCTCATCAAAAAGTATTTGGGGCTAGTTGAAATGACCTTTGGGCTAATGCATGCTACTAGCTTATACAGCTTGCCCAAATGACAAGCTGTAAAACTAACTTTCTTTGCACCCTGCTGATGTTGATTTCCATCAGACTTCTAGTCCCCTATTATTTCATAAAATTAATACTGTTGTAACTCGCATTCATCTAGGATGTAGATGTACCAAGGGGGGAGGGAGCTGCGATCCAAGTTTACAGAAGTTAAAGAGGAAGGATTTCATTCACACCTCCTGGATGTGAGCTACAGTGATGTGAGGACAGTCCCCCTATTCTCCCCAAATCAGTGATCCTATACCCCCCCACCCCCTCCCAACCCCTAGTCCCAGCGTAGAACTGGTACTCATCCCTAGGTTGCACTCAGACCATGGGCAAATTAAAAGAAAAAAAAGAAAGAAAGAAAGAGAGTGATTATCTAATGTGTTTATGTAAAGTATAAAAGTACGGAGGAAGTGGCAAATTGACCGGGTTGATTAAGCTGTTGCTGCCAATCCCACTTGCTGCCTCATTTATATACCCTGTATGCCTCCATATAGCCTTAAAAACGCCTGTTTCACTACTCTATTTCAGACAAGAGGCTCTCCAATTATTTAGGCTATTGAATCCGCCCTCCCACACAGATGTACATGTACACTGATTGAAATCTCCCACATTTTACAGCCTGTTCAGGGCAACACCCTGTTTGAGAGGCTAATAGCAAAATTGTGTACTCAGTTTTATTAAGACTCTCAACCCGCCAAACCCATACCATGTTAACCATTAAGGCCAAATAAGGGAGTGCTTTCCCCTGGGATGCAAAGACAGTATAACTCTTCAGTACTTCTTGTTTTTGCCTTAGGTGTCCTTGTCGCTGCTGGAGATGTCATCAGCCAGCAATTTGCTGAGCAAAGAGGCACAAATCATGACTTCAGAAGAACAGCTCGTATGGGAGTGGTTGGACTAGTTATTGGCCCTGTGCTAAGATCATGGTATCTTACACTGGAAAGGATTGTCCCTGGGACTGCCAAAACTGCCGGCTTTAAAAAGATGCTGCTGGATCAGAGTCTTTTTGCTCCTGTTATGATATGCTTCTTTTTCAGCGTGTCCGAGACACTTGCTGGAAAACGACCACATGAAATCAAAGAGATGCTCCAGGAACGCTATGTACAGACACTGATCACAAATTATAAGATCTGGCCCCTTGTGCAGTTTCTGAATTTTACGTTTGTTCCTATTCAGCACCGCGTTGGCTTTGTCCAAATTGTAGCAATATTTTGGAATGCATACCTGTCATGGATGGCTAACAAGCCATCACCTGATACTGCAGCCTTAACTGTTAAGGGTTCTTTGGAGCTGGTTCAGTGATTTGACTCGCAGCACCCTCTGTTTGGTTAGTTGATTCACTTGAGGTTTACCATCTTTTTATAACTACATTTATGATGTTAATATTTCAAATACAATTACACTGTAAAAAGTACTAATATTGTTGTGATTACAATATTTATATAAATTAAAGTTATTTTACAATTCAATGGCACAAATTATAAAAAAAAAAAAGTTATGTTTAAAATACTGGAAGCACATTGTAATCTGACATTGAATGAGGTTGAGGATGAAAATTCGTACCTACAGACAATCCTTCAACTAATCCAGTTCGATTAAAAAGAAGACATAGTGTAGATTACATTCACTTTTTTGATCCTAATTTTTTTATCTAGCAGGTGCGTAGCAAATTGAAATAGATTGGTAAAAGTGTCATTAATTGTGTTCATAACTTTGGAGAACTTTGTAAAGTATATTGAGGTTGGTGACCTGGGACCATGCATGCTCTGTAATGGGGGAAAAAGGCAGAAAAAAGGGGTGAAATAGGAAAAATAGCAGTGAGCGAAGCAAGCTTATTGGTGGGGAGGACTACCGCTTGGCTCGCTTCACTCGCCGATTTTTATTTATTTATTTTTTTTGCCAAAACCGATTTTTCTCTCCTTTTCCGCCAATGCGGAGCCTGGGCCCAGACTAATTATAGAGGTTGGTTGTGTCTTCAAGGCTCCACTGCATTTGGTGTTAGCACGGGGAATGGTGTTTACACAATGATACCTGACCGACTTTCTTTTACCATTCCTTATTAATTGTCTTCAGGCATATTTGAGTTGTTGGGGTGGGGAGGGTGTGTGTAATGGGCTGGGTTGGAATGATGTTATGCTATTATGTAAGACTGGAGCAGCAGGCCTTTAGTAATTATTCTATTGCATGAGCAGTATTTCTGAGAAACTAATGCAAATCAATTTTTAAATAATACATGGTTTAAATTTTACAAAGTTGTTTTTATTATCAGTGGATTATCACACACTGAACATTTTAGTTCGAGAACTCTACGGGCAAGAAAAATTAATAATTAATTATTATAAGGCTGTTTTCAAAACATTGCTGGAATGTTATTGTGTCACAAGAAATAAACCAATCAGGTGCAGTGTGGGAAAAATAAAGTACAATCAACAACGGTGATTAGTTTGTGGTGTTTTGACTAGCTCACAGGAATTGTGATCATTGTTTTCAACACATGTTGCTGAACATTTTTAGGTGCAGTTCATGGTGTTCTAAATTGAACAGCAAAGATATTTGCTGCTGTGCAACAAATCGCTCTGTGACAATAATTTTAAGGGTCTTACTTGTGTGTGTGTGTGTGGGGGGGGGGATGTTGCTTAACCCCTTTAAACCCCAATATTAAAAAACAAATTGTTTCATGATCAAAACATTTTACTCGATTGTGATCTTTTTAACAATTCTCATAACCTTTTTAATTTATGATGTTGTGATGATGTTAGGAGAAAATCGTTGTTGGTCACTCAAAGTGGAGGCAGGGGTGGCTTTATGATCTTATGATCTGAGAGGAGCCTATGTAAATAGGGATACCACAACAGTGGTAAGCCAAAGAAAGTGGTCCCATAGTTTTAAAAAAAAGTGTAAAAATAATATATAGATTTAGCCAGGGCTAAAAGCGAAGTTCTCGATAATATTTATTGTTTGTTCAAAAAAACTATAAAATCGTGTAATGCTAAGCGGCGAAGGCAACGCCGGAGAATGGTGAAAAACAGCAATAGGTTTAATTAGCAAAAAAAGCAACTTTGCACGTGCAGCACACTTTTTTTTGTACATTTCTTTGCCGTTGTTTTTCACGACTACAACGTGAAACTTCCAGAAACTTCTTAGTCACACGTTTTATGGAGGAACTGTCGTACGTGTTCTCGTTCACTATTTTTTCACTGCCGCTTATTTTTACCTTTCATTGGTGGCCGCTACTAGCATTTCCCATTTTGTCACCGCCACTACAAAATTTTCATGTCATTCTTCCAACAAAAAAATGTCTCCTTTGTTTTTTATCTCTCGCTCGAGACCTCTGTCGCCCTTTTTCTCGTTGAGCTTCGCTGGCCCAACGCCTACTTTCTCTTTTTCTCTGTCTTTCTCCTGATCTATATTCCAAATTTGTGGACATGACAATTAGTCTGAACTAAATACTTTAGACAACACGGATACAGAAACAATTTCCGCTTTCCGTTTTCGTCTTTATTGACTCTATAGTTGTCTCTGCCTTACAAGACGCCGGTGGCTATGCGATTTCCCGCCAAAATAACCGAGTTGCATTTGGGTTCGGGTTGCTGTACCCGTTGATTGAGTTATTTTACATTGGTATGCCTGTGGTGCGGACGGACGGTCCCTCGGTCGGGCGGTGTACGGTCACGTGATTACCAAATTTTCTCAGATGGGTAGATTGCTTCACTTTCTTACCCATGCTGCTCCGCTGGCGCGGATGGACAGACACATTACGTGAAACGTTATGTGACGGTCACATGGTTCTCCAATATCCGGGATTGAGTGTCATTGGATGTCTTCGCATTTTTAAACTCCGGTTTTGTCACAAGATGTGCACCACTTGCTTGACCTCATATCTTGCTAAATGAAATTGTGTTTTGTTTTGTTTTTTTTTTTTGCCTGGCTGTGCCGAACAACTTTCAATCCCAGACAAGTTTTATACTGCCTTAGGCTCTTTTATAACTACTTAGGAGATAAAAGAAAAACAAACAAACAAAAAAAATAAAAACGCGCTCATATTTCATGTGTAATCTGTCGCGCTCATGGTATGTAAAAAAGGCAAAAACAGATCGTGATCTTTCTGCAAAACATGAAGGCCAATGACCTGAATGACTTGATCTTCAAAGTAGTGAACGGACGGAAGAGGAAAGGAGACAGCATACCTTCTGTGACAAGAGTGACAATCAGTAATGTTCGAAAAAAATTCCGCCAAACTTCAATTCAGAAGATCTTTTCGTAAAAGGAGGCGGGGCGTAAGGGAGGTACGAATACCGCAATACCGCACTTGGTAGCCGAGAGAAAACCGCAATACCGCATCAAATTTACCAAAATACCGAAACCGCAGTCGCAAAAGGGAAGAAGTTGCCGTTCTCAAGACTAAAATCCGTCTTTTGAATACTGTTTCCAGATTAAGGTGCGTCGATGTTAAGCATACGATAAACATACATTTACGACCATCGCACTCGTCTTTGTTTATCAAACGTTTTCAGTGAAACTCATATACGATAAGGTCCGATAACTGTCAGTCCATTTTTTCAAGTAGACTGTAGGACAGCAAAATGTCGATAATCGATGTACTGTTGAGGTAGGTTAGGAGTGAGTAGAATAAGATTATAGTACTTACCAAACGGTTTCCCTGAATTTCCCTAGCCTCTTCTCCCCTCGATTTACCAAACAAAGGAACTTTTTTTTTTCTGTTTCTCGCCCCTTTTTCCTTCTTCGTAGAAAATTGCTACGCAATTCATAACTACCTCACTATTTGCTGGATTATCTGACTAGTCACTCTGTTCACTATCTGGTTCACTCGCCATTGTTTCGCGACTGGCACGAAAGAGACGGTAAGGTCAGCAGGAACGTTAGCCAAGACACATTTTAGGGCACTTTTTCCCGCGAAAATAAAATCTCCTCCATGTCTATGAGCGCGTTGTCTGGACTCTCTTTGCACAATCATGACGGTCCCCGACTGTGCAACTAGGAAGACACACAGGCTTGGGGACCTAGGGAGACCTTCTAGGACTCCTTTTAGGATTTGTCAGGAACCCATAGTTAAGCAATAAAAAACGTTTTCCGTGTTTGCATAGCCTGGTTTGAACACGGGAGGGGTTGGGAGAATTCATAACTGTCGAGAATTTTCCCAACCCCTCGAGTGTTTATATCAGGCTATGCAAACACAGGAAAAAAGTTTTCTATTCCTTTTATAAAATAACTTTCCCAAGAAAAAACGCAAAGCTCTTTGTTATAGCACTGATTAAAAGAGAAATTCTTACCAGTCGCAAAGTCTTGTACACGACGTCTTGCACGCGTAATCAGTTCTTGTTTTGGAAAAAAGATGCTATTCAAAATACGGATTTTTCTCGCTTAAACTGTCAGCTTAAGCGAAAAAAAATTGACACACCTTCTTTGTAATGATTTTCCAAGTTTCCGCCGACGGAGGAATTGATAAATAAAGTGAACTTTTCGAGTTTTGAACTCGAAATCTTTTTCAAATTCGTGCTTGCGTGATTATGCACCTATCAATGTAAACCCCGTGCGGGGGGTGCGGGCAAGGGGTGGGGATTTGACAAATTTTAAAATTTTTTGATCAAATTCCCAAGGGTGGGAAACGAAAGGTCAATCAAAAGTGTCAAAAAAGCCCCCACCCCAGGGGAAAAATCTAAACAAACAATACTATAATACTATATAAAACGAATAAAAGAACTTTTCAAAAGTACGTTCTTACTACTTTTATTTAAGGTTAACGTAAGCTCCGTTAAATTACTCGCTGTAATTAAGTATTTTCTCTGTCCACTAGCATCTCTCATTTTGAACAACATAATACTACTATATTAATGAAACGTAAAATGCTTTATAACATCGGCTCAACATGTCGGAACAGGTCGGATCAGTGACCTGTAAAAAATCCTCTGACTTTCATGGTAGAATTCGATTTCAATCGAGGTTTACAATCAGATGGGAACTTGAAGATAAAAACTTTCTCAAAGTAGACATTATCTGTTTAGATGACAGTGTACATGTAAAGTATCGGATTGTGGCGATTAAAACAAATGAAAACTTCATAACTTTCTCCAACAGCGTGACTTTCAGAAAGCCTCGAGGGACGGACTTGGCTACCGCTTCTGAATTGATACCAGGCTTCTGTCGATCAAAGTCAAATGTCCCGACCCCGGGGTCGCCTCGCACGATCAAAAGCCCGACAGGGGGATAGTCTCAGGCATCAAATCCCCACCCTTGCCCGCAGCCCCCCACGGGATTTACATTGATAGGTGCATTAGCGCGAA